AATGGAGTGATTTTACTTCCTGTGTGTATCACAAGTGCAGATGGCCTGGTTGGTAGCACTAATAGGCATCTTTCCTTAAAATGTCTTGACATGCCAGTTGCTTCTGAAAAGCTAACATGGCTCTTGCTACTCCGGGGTGGAGTTCGAGCGGTCAGACTATCTGCTTCTGCCCACTCAAACCCTACTTTGGCAAAGAGTGGTATCTACTTTCTCAGTGCCTGGGAGTTGGCACCTCAAGCTGCTCTTTCATGGTGTCTGATCCTCGTGCTTCCAGGACCCCTCCTACTAAGACCACCAGTGCCCGCATGTTCCTGAATCCAGTGGGCAACTTAAAGTTCTTGCGCTACTCTGTCTTTCAGCAGCATTTGACATGGACACTCCCTCTCTCTTAAAATATTCCCTCTGCTTTCCTCTGACAACAGAAACTCCTGATTTTCCTTCCACCTGTCCATTTCTTTGTTTCTGTGCTTTACTGATTTCTCTTCTTTATTTAGACCTTTAAACACTAGATTTTCCTCAGATCTCTTCTCACTCTGTCTGCTCGCCCTGGGTAACCTTTTTTAGTCCCGTGGCTTCAATTATTCTCTTTTATGTGCTAAAGACTAAAATTCATCATATTTCAACAAATCGAAGACATCAGTGATTCTAAGAGGCAGCAAGATTTTATGTACCACGAAAGAAGCAGCACTGCCAATGAAGTGACACAATAGCTTCTTACACATCAATCATCAGATGTGTCCCATTTTTAAAAATACCAGAATGCAAAAAAGTACATCCAAGAATTAATAATATATTGTAATATCTTTTGCATAGATTTGCATAGCCTTTTTCAGAGTACGGATACCTCCTATGTCTTAAGCATAGTGCTCCTGGGAGCATGCAAATGAGTTGCAACAGTTTTGTTTTGAGAAGCTGGTTGTTTCCTAAGTCTTAGCTCCCCCTAAGTATAAAACTGGCCTTATTACTTGGTACTATGTACAGCATATTATATGTATAGATGAGATAGAATTAAGTTAGCCCAATGATAAGGCTGAATTATTGAGTCAGTGGGTCTTCAAGATGGTGCCCAAACTCTGAATTTATTTCATTTTAGATCGTTTTCATCGTCTTAGTATAAACTGTGAGGTAGTCCCTGAACAGTGCTTTCTGACTTCATAACGTGTCTAAGACAAGTGAATTTTAATTTTTGTAGCTCATTTTTAATTGTTAGTGTCTCTGGGAACTCATACCGCTGCTGTTCCCCTCCTTATTTCTTTTTTCCTCTTCTGTATCTTGAAAATTGCTTTTGACAGCTCTGGGACCTGTAGGAACTATTGCAAATTTTGGAAAGCATTACTAAAGAATTATTTCTGTAAAGTACTATACTTGTTTCAACTAATAAATACTTTGTATGTTGAAAGCTTTCTGATTAATTGAAGTAATCATAACCATGGTTAATTCACTTGATAAAAGCAGCGTGAACAGGCTAGGGCATGCAGGTTCTCTCTTAAAAGTATAGATGCAACAGGAAAAAAAAAAATCAAAATAACAACTATGGCAGGGAAAATACAAGGAATATTAAAATATCAATACATAATGACTATGTATAAATTACATAGTTGTGATTCCAAGTTGGCCATATACCAGGAACACAAGACTCCTTGAAAGATTAAGAAATCTATTACTATTATTGATCATTTAGGACTAGAGTTAAAAAAGCAAATATTTATCCAAGTACATATCAAAAAGGCATAACATTCACTTCTGATTTTTAAAAATCAAAATTCTTAGTAAACTAGGATCGGGTCACTTTCACAGTGCAATAATAAATATCAGCATCAAACTCAATGGTAAAAGATGATAAGTGTTCCATTAAAAATGGGTGCACATAAAGAGATGCTGAGTATTGTTAGCTGTCAGGGAAATGAAAATCAAAACCACTATGAGATCACGTGCTAGGATGACTGTCATCAAAAAGAGAGATTGTAATAGTGTTAGCAAGGATGTGGAGAAATTGGAACCCTTGTATATTGGTGGTGGGAATATTAAATGGCACAGCTGCTTTGGGAAATAGTCCAGAAGCTCTTCAAAAGCCTTACTATATGAGTTACCAAATGACCCAGCAATTCGACTCCTAAGTATGGCCAAGATAAATGAAAACATATGTCCACACAAGAACTTAGGCTGAAAAGTACATAGCAGCATTATTCATGGTAGTCAAAAGGTAGATGTAACCGAAATGTCTATCAGCTGATGAATGGGTAAATGAAATATGATATATCCATATAATAGGCTATCATTGGGCAACAAAAAATTAAGCACTGATACATTCTACAAATAGATGAACTTGGATTGAAACATAGATTGAGAACATGATTGCTAAGTGAAAGAAACCAGTATCAAAGTGTGACAGGTTGCATGATTCCGTTTGTACGAAATGTTCAGAATAGGCAAATCTAAAGAGACAGAGGGTAAATTGATTTTTTAGGGCTGGAGTGCTAGGGAGAATAACTGGGATGTGACTGGTAATGGGTGCAGGGTTTCTTTCTGCGGTGATGGAAATGTTTTAAAATAGGTGTGTTGTTTGCACAATGATGGTGTATACAGTGCTGTGAATATGCTGAAAACCATTGAATAGTACATTTAAATGGGGGAATTATATGGTATATGAGTTATATCTCAACAAGGCTGTTATTAAACAAGTGAAAAACAATGCCAGAGTGACTGTGGTCTCCAAGCTATTTATAGTTACTCTGAAGTTTCTAATTAATGCTATTATACAAGGAAAAAAGATAAATACTGGAAAGCAAGCAACAAATTATTACGGAAAATATTTGTCTACTCAGAACATTCAACAGATTTATACTAGAATTAATAAAAAAAAAAGTTTGCTAAGGAGGCAGCTATAAAAACTCATTGGGCCTTGGGCTACTATCCTTACTATATAAACAGTTCTTATAAATATGTAAGAAATGCTGATCATTCAGTAGGAAAGTAAACCAGTGATATGAACACCATTCGCAAAAAATATACCATGATGGATAACCATACAAAAGAATGTGCAGCTTATATGTAACAAAAGAATACTTGTAAAAAAAAATCATAACCTGGTAGGTGAGGGGCACTGTTATTGAACGAATGTCTTTAACATACATAGACTTTCACAAGTCTTCAGGAATTTCACAATGCTCCAGAGTAAATTGTATGACTGCAAATATTTATAATACCTAATTCTTTATTGACCTCAGTAGATCTCTGAAAATTGGGAGGAAGTGAGATGGGACCCTCTAGAGTTACTCCTAGAGGGCTGGCTTGGCTCTAAGGGCTTAGAGGAGACTGAGGCAATGGGAGGTCTTGGGTCCTGTTTGCTCTTCGTGTTCCGAGGAATGTTCACGAGGTCTGATACTCCCTTGGGTCTCCCCTGGCTCTCCCCTGGAGTAGATGGGCAGTCTGAGACTCCTAAACTAGATCAGGACCACAGCTTCTATTATGTATGTATTTATTTTTGAGACGGAGTTTCCCTCTTGTTGCCCAGGCTGGGATGCAGTGGCGCCATCTCGGCTCATTGCAGCCTCCGCCTTCCGGTTTCAAGCGATTCTCCTGCCGCAGACTCCCGAGTAGCTGGGATTACAGGCGCCCGCCACCACGCCCAGCTAATTTTTGTATTTTTAGTAGAGACAGGGTTTCACCATGTTGGCCAGGCTGGTCTCGAACTCCGGACCTCATGATCAAAGTGCTGGGATTACAGGTGTGAGCCACTGTGCCTGGCCTATTTTTTTTTTTTGAGATGGAGTCTCGCTCTGTCACCCAGGCTGGAGTTCAGTGGCACAATCTCGGCTCACTGCAACCTCTGCCTCCAGAGTTCCAGTGATTTTCCTGCCTCAGCCTCCCGAGTAGCTGGAATTGCAGGTGCCCGCCACCACCCCAGGCTAAGATATGTATTTTTAGTAGAGGCATGGGGTTTCACCATGTTGGCCAGGCTGGTCTTGAGCTCCTCACCTCTGGTGATCCACTTGCCTCGGCCTCCCAAAGTGCTAGGATTATAGGCATGAGCCACCGCACCAGCCCACAGCTTCTATTTAAACTGAAGAATGGAGCGAAAACAATGTATTAGTTCCTAAGCTGCCTCATGGAAGCAAATACCATTTTGACTTGAGGGGTGAGTCAGTGTTTCTATGCAGATGATTGATCCTTAGCAGTGGTAGGATTGCTGTGCCTGTGGTCATTACAGGAATGTTCCTCCGGTGGTCATGGTGGGTGTGTCTTGCTGGAGTCATCATTGCTTCAGTTTTCTCTGGCCCGGTAGAGATTGTCTTGTCATTTCCATTGCATTTCATGTTAGGATGATCTCAGTGCACATATCCTTGAAATTACTCTGCATATAAGAGATGTATGCTTGATAAAAATTGTTTCCAGAAATCTCTTCTAGCAGTTTGGATTTTAGCTGAGTGGTGATAATGCCATTCATTAGAAAGACTGTAAGGATCTTGAAATGGTATGTTTTCCTTATGTACACTTCTCTGATACTTTTTTCTCCCATATGTTTGTTTATACTTCCTACTAGTTTATATGGAAGCAAACAGCCTTAAGGCCATTTCTACAACTTAGAAACACATAGGAACATGTGCCGTTTTCTTTTTCATAGAATGTCATTCATACATAGTGTAAACTCAGAACTTTAACACATACGCTTTCTGCTTTAAATTAAAAATGTTTTACAATTACAATGGAATGAAAGAGTTGACATTGTAAAACTCAGACAGGGTATTTTTAATAGGGTCTACAAATCTTTTGTGGTACCTTTAAAGTCATATTTTCATAGTTGGTGAATTTTCATCTTTTAATATACAGAACCATACTCTGAGATCCGGTTAACTTAAGGGAACGTTTTTTGGTTTTTATTATTGGGGGGATTCTCAAAAAATTGTATTTTGGAGTAAGTATGAGTTTACCCTTTTATTTATTTTGTGATTTGCTCTTCTGCTTTATGGTAACTCTTCTCATCATGCCGATTTCTCTAGGTTGAAAATGTCCGCTTGGTAGATCGAGTGTCTCCTAAAAAAGCAGCTCTAGGTACTTTGTATTTGACGGCTACTCACGTCATATTCGTGGAAAATTCACCTGACACAAGAAAAGAAACATGGGTATGCTTTCTTTATTTTTAGCTTTCCTTGTTTTGCGTTGTTTGAAGTAAAAAGTTTTTGCCCTCCATTCGTTTTTCCTGGGGGTGAGATGAGTGGGCTTTTGGTGATTGGGTGTTAGGGAACTGTTTCTAAAATGTGTGTTTGGCCTTTTTCTGTATAGTCATATCTCTCCTTTTTTTTTTTTTTTTTTTTTTTTGAGACGGAGTCTCGCTCTGAGGCCCAGGCTGGAGTGCAGTGGCCAGATCTCAGCTCACTGCAAGCTCCGCCAACCGGGTTCACGCCATTCTCCTGCCTCAGCCTCCCGAGTAGCTGGGACTACAGGCGCCCGCCACCTCGCCCGGCTAGTTTTTTGTATTTTTTAGTAGAGACGGGGTTTCACCGTGTCAGCCAGGATGGTCTCGATCTCCTGACCTCGTGATCCACCCGTCTCGGCCTCCCAAAGTGCTGGGATTACAGGCTTGAGCCACCGCGCCCGGCCTAGTCATATCTACTTGATCTACTTATTCATTTTAAACCCGAATTATTTGAACATCACTAAAGAGAGACTTAGAAATAGCCAGAAGATACAAGCGCTTCCTGTCACAGCTGTCAAGGAGAGATTGAATAATGTCAGTAGGCCAGATTCGGCATTGCCATCCTCTAGTGCTCCATTTGCAATACTCTCTATTTGTAGGGTCCTATGATGCAGCCATTTGGTCATTTTATTATGTTGTCTCAACTTTTCTGATAATTTTAAAAAGAAAGAAAAGCTAGAGGAGTTTCATCATCAGGTATTTCTGCTACTTATTAATGAAACCATTAGATATTTATTATTATTATTATTGAGATGGAGTTTCACTCTGTTGCCCAGGCTGGAGTGCATTGGTACGATGGATCTTGGCTCACTGCAACCTCAACCTCTTGGGTTCAAGCGGTTTGCCTGCCTCAGTCTCCTGAATAACTGGGACTACAGTCACGTGCTACCATGCCTGGCTGACTTTTTTGTAGTTTTAGTAGACACAGGATTTCACCATATTGTCCAGGCTGGTCTCAAACTCCTGACCTCAAGTGATCTGCCCACCTTGGCCTTCCAAAGTGCTGGGCATGAGCCACTGTGCCTGGCCTTATTATTTTTTCAGCAACCCAATCGTGAAATCCCTGAACTGTAGATTTCCCTTTTCTATATTCTCTGCACAGTGGTACATTTTTAGCAGAAGGTGGCAGGCACTTATTAGTGGAGGGGAAACTTACAGAATAAAATGCTGGCATTGAAGACTGAGCAGAGACCTTCCTGTAACACCGGAGATGCACTTCAGCATGATTTCCTTTAAAGTTAATCTCCTCTTTAGAGAGTAGAATGATGGTTTTACTAGACACTGGGAGTGCAGAGGAGAGGGCGGGAATGAGGAGATATTGATCAAAGGGCACAAAGTTTCCAATAGACAGGAGGAATAGTCTGGAAAATGTATTGCACAGCAAGGTGTCCATACTCAATGTATATTTCAAAATAATTATGAGAGTAAATTTCAAGGGTCTCGTTAAAAAAAAAAACTATAGGTAAGTGATGGCTGTGTTAATTGGCTTGATTTAATCATCCACATGGTGTTCATATATCACAGCATTACGTTTCAGCCCATAAATATGTACAACTATGATTTGCAATAAAAATACTAATTTAAAAATAAAAAGATAAATAAATTCCTTCTTTTGCAGCCTGCCCGACCACCAACAGCTTAGAAAACAACAGTCTCATGTTGATACAGAACTCGAACATTCCGTGTGGAATTAAGGAGCATGGTGGCACCTCCCAGTGGAGCCATCTCTAACTTGTGTTGACTGCAGAAGTTTATTTTACTGACTTCTCATGACCTTGTTTGATTTTAGCTATAAAGTGCATTCAACATCTGACCACCAAAATGTTTCCTTACCTGGACGTGTGCAAATTTATATGCTGAATGGTTTGCTTCAAAATAACTATCCTGGGTATCAGGAAGCTTGGTATTGAAAAATAAAATTATAAATTTAGGAAGTTGGTTGTTACCTGGAACATCTCAGTGCTTGTCATCTGAATGCAAGGGTTGAGCTAGCTAGAAGTTGGGGAGTGCGTCTTGTCATTGTTTGAGCCACAATGAAATGTTAGTCCTTGTCATATTCATTAGTTATTTGTGCTTAGCTTGTGCAAATTAACATTTGGTTCTAGATTCTTCACAGTCAGATTTCCACCATTGAGAAACAGGCAACAACTGCTACTGGATGCCCTCTGCTGATTCGCTGCAAGAACTTTCAGATAATACAGCTCATCATACCTCAGGAAAGAGATTGCCACGACGTGTACATCTCCCTGATACGCCTTGCAAGGCCAGGTAGGGTAGAGGAACTCGGCATTTAATACGGAACCTCTCTTAAAAATTCGCAAATCACATTCAAGAATTTGTATGGTGCTTAGGAATGATAGGGGTTTAGGGATTGTGTCAGTCTGGTTATCAGATGAGGACAAGCCAGAATAATCATCTGATACAGAGTTCCTTGTTTTTTAGAGTCTCCCTCGAGTTATTTACTATGTGGGTCTCTTTCATGAATCCTAGTATTCGCTTAATCTTGGTGGGGATTATAGGATGTTTTCCTTTTGGGGTGAAATTGTGTTTAAGTTATGCCCTTATATTGTGGTACTCAAGCCACCTTGAATGGGGCCAGTGACAGAACTGACCAGTTGTTTTGTGTGGGAAATGTTATCAGACAGTTCTAGTGCAGTTTTCTCCCTCTTGAGGCTTTTAAGGTTTAGTCGCCATTGCTTTTTTGTTTCTTGGGGTTTTTTTTTCCCAGACACTGTTGCTCCATTGCCCAGACTGGAGTGCAGTGGCACGATCTCAGCCCACTGCAACCTCTGCCTGCCGGGTTCAAGCGATTCTCATGCCTCAGCCTCCCAAGTAGTTGGACTACAGGTGCCCGCCACCACACCCTGCTAATTTTTGTATTTTTAGTAGAGATGGGATTTTGCTATGTTGGCCAGTCTGATCTTGAACTCATGGCCTCAAGTGATCCACCTGCCTCAGCCTCAAGTGCTGGGATTACAGGCATGAACTACCATGCCTGCCCCTCCATTGCTTTTTGATAATAATTTATTTTTTCCAAGGTTAGTACAACTAGACTAGCATCAGTGACTATTCAGAGTGTGGATCTGCTGATTCTCCTGAAAAAAGAAAAACAAAACTTGATGTAGTGGGAGGAACATTTGGATTTGAAAAATATGTTCTCGCCATTGCTATCTTGTTCTAGCCATCATCTTGGGCTCTTCAGATTTATAGCTTACTGTTCGCTTCAAAAGAAGTGTTTCTTGCCTCTCTGTGTGGCTTGTGTGAGTTGTGGTGTTGTTTTCCTTAAAAGAAATATACTCTATGTTTCTTGGAAGAATACAGTGAAAAGAGATCATTTATATAACAGTTGTGTTACACAGAAGTAGTTAATAAAGGAAATAAGATATGTGCTGATAACTACTTTGCCAAATATGTTTTGATTCAGGACAAGAAGTTCAATTATAAACTTTTCAAGGCATTTGGTTGGATCATGATTTTTCCATATTCTTTGTAGGTAGCTAAGAGCTAAAGTTACTGAATGGAAATGATGCCAGGGAGCTGTCAAAATCTGGTAATTTTTACTTTACACTGTTTCCCTCTAAAGGCAGTTGGGTGAGGCTTTTTCATCCAAGTGCACTACAGGAATGGCAGAGTAAGCCAGAAAAGCAGTTGAACTTTTTGGAGGGTGCACTAAAATTGGAACAGAAGTTCTGGGAAGATGTACACTAGGTTGCACGCAGCAGAGAATGTGAGGAGAATTCTGTGCAACAGTTTCTGTGTCACTGATTAATGGAAGCACTGAGCGATAAATGTGCTCTGAGCAGATTAATGGGATTTAGGAATAGCCTGGCGAACCGGGAAAGGGCTGAGCAGCTGGAAGAGTGAATCACAGGGACCAGGAGGGTCACGGCCCAGAGACAGCGAGTGCCAGGACTCTCGCTGTGAGGATCCCTGAGGGGAAAATTACTATGTTCCCCCATTTTTGAAAGGGATACTTTTTCCTTAAAAGATGAAGTTTTGGGGGTTAGGTGTTAGATGTAGCCAGAGATCTGACTGGCTACCTTTTCTAAAAGAAATCATAGTAATTCATTGAATCAAAGCCATCACCTAAGAGGAGTTAAAAAGAATCGCCAGCATTTTGAAACATGGGCATTAGAAACGCCAGTTTGCCTAAAATGTAGTGCTTTAATAAGTGAGGGAAGGCGAAATAGAACACAAGCAGTTCACAGTGCAATGTTAAAGGCAATGCTAAAATTAGGGCTTATTATAGGCTATAACTTTGGAAGCAGGACTTTGGCTCTAGAGGGAGATGGGGAAATGTGGAAGGGGTTCGACATGAAACAGTGACCTTCAGCAGGGGGATGGGGTGGCCTTTCAGAACCATCTGAAGATATTTTATAAAATACACCCTCCACTGCATCTAAGGATATGAGAATAAGGGTGTATGTGTGTGGTTGGTGAGGGAGGTGTACTTTGAATTCTAGTCATACAATGTAACTCTTTCGATATTCTGGTTAGTCACCAACAAAGTTCATATATTTTCAGTTTCTTTATGGACACCCAGCTAACTGTAAGGTTCTATAGAGCAGAGGTCCCCAACCCCTGGGCTGCAGACAGGTACCAGTCTATGGCCGGTTAGGAAGCGGGCAGCACAGCACAGCAGGAGGTGAGTGGCGGGCATGCAAGCATGAGCTCCACCTCCTGTCAGATCAGCGGTGGCATTAGTTCTTTTAGGAGCATGAACTCTATTGTGAACCGTACATGCGAGGGATCTAGGTTGTGTGCTCCTAATGAGAATCTAATGCCTGATGATCTGAGGTGGAAGTTTCATCCTGAAACCATCCCCCAACCACACCCCCATCCACGGAAAAATTGTCTTCCACAAAACTGGTCCCTGGTACCAAAAAGGTTGTAGACTGCTGCTATAGAGGACAAAACAGTTGTTTTTACGTAAGAAGAAATGTTTGGGAATTCATTTAAGTCCAGGTTTCTGAAGGAGATATTTTCAAAGCTGCTGTTATTTAGTATTAAAATCTAAAGTACTTTAAAAATAGGGGAAAAAAAAAAGAAAAAAGAAAAAACCCCAAACCTTAGCATCAGCAGAATGCAAAGGGAGGGGAAGGGAAGAGAAAAGTTTCCAGTTGTCAGCAGAGGGACACAGAGGTGTGAGGTGTTTTACAACCCGTGTAACTATTGAAAGCGAAATTACTTCAGACATTCTGCTGAATTCAGGCAACTTAAAATAAATGTCGAGATTCTCTCTTTACTGAGTTAGGATTTCTGGTATAAGGGTAAATCAAATTATTAAAAAAATTAGAGATTTTATTGGTTTGCTCTTTATGTGAATAAAGATTGATAAGAATTTGGTCACGGACTATAGAAGATCTCAGGCAAAACATAACATGTCCAAATGCAGGAAGCTCTTTCATTCTTGGTAAAGAACTAACTTAGGTTAAAATAAGGGTTGTGGCTCAAATGAGATCAGTTAACCTTGTAGATCGAATGTATTAATAAGGATCTCAGCTTTTCTGATGAAAAGACCCCTGTTTCTCAGGGGGCTTCAGCTTTTCCCATGTCCTCTCTCCTCTCTTTCCTCCAATTTGCCTCCTGCTGTTTATTTTTTGTATCAATTATCTTTCCTTCTTTAGTGTTTGTGGGCGCTTCAACACTTAAATAATTTCTTTTGTTTATTTTCCCCCTTTTCCTAAACTAGTTTCTTTTTAGACTCTCACTCCTCAATTCTTTTGGATATTTTTTATTTTAAAAAAATCTCATGATTGAAGTAGTCTCATGTGCTTAATTGGTAACTTTTTATATTCCTTATCTAAGTCATTGATGTTTAAGCAGTTTTTGCAGTGGTAATTTCTTTTTTATCAGAGCGTAGCACCCTTTTCCGCTGTGTTAGCGTTAACAGTTATAATATTTAATTTCAACACTTGTTTGTTTACAATAGACAGATAAGGTGAGGCACCCTCATTTTTATTTTAAATATGCAAAATCCAATAATGGCTGTATTATCTTCTCACCCCACTCTAAATGGTTTTTCAACTACAGTTATTTTAAGTTGCCTGAATTCAGCATAATGTTTGATGCAATTTAGCTTTCAGTAGTTACTTTGGTTATTTAAAAAAACGCTCACATCTCTGTGTCCTGATGACTATTGGTAAGTTTTCCCTTCCCTTTCCCACCCTTCACATTCTGCTGATGCTGATTCATGTTTGTTTTTTCTCTTCATTTTTAAAATACTTTTGATTTTAATGTTACATTATTTGTTGCTTCTCCCAGTTAGTCTATAATGAGAGGCAATTCCTCCATATATTTATCCTAAATATTCTGTTTTTATAACCTTTAACCTAGTACCTAGGGAACAAGCTAGGTTATTTTCCTTCCTTCCCTAATGTTTTGTTGTACCCACATCTCTCCCTTATTTTGGCAGAAGGAGCACCCTTTCCTTTATATGGGAGAGAAGGAGCAAAGGTTGTATACGGACGCAGCCCCATTTATTCGCCTGGTGGTTCCAAGTTGAGAGTTTCCACCTGATGTCTTGCGTTTTCTGTGGGAAGTAGGAAGTGGGGTTTTCTGAGAGTAAAGGAGCCAGGGAGGTCAGTAGAGACTGAGCTGCGCTGTAGTGCTGCAGGCCTCCCTAGGTTAAGGGGAGCACAGTGAACACCGGCGCTAGAATAAAATCAGCCAAAACATGGATCTCTGTGCTTGGGTTGAGCTCTGCTTTCAACTGAAACACTGATTTGGTCTTCCTAGAAACAGCCAAAATGTTTGTTACTCATCCTTAATTTCGTGTAGTATTTTAGAAATTACCATTTTGCTTTCTGGGTAGAGAAACATTAAAGCTGGACTCCTGTTTCATTAGTTATATGATTTAAATAGATAATATATGATACTGTAAATACCAAGATTTCCACATTAACTGTTTCTGAATTTTTTAAAAAATTAAACATGCACATTCAGTTTACTCCCACAATCCAAAGGCATTTTGAGTATTTACTTCTTATTGGAGGAGCTCTTGTGTACTGGGGCCCCTTAGGGTGAGGCCTTCGGGGCACTTCCTGCTGAAAGCTGCTGGTCACTAATAGCAAAAGATGTTTTATGTTGGGTCTGTTGGCTCAGACTGTGATGGGAAAAGCCAGTGGAACTTTTAACATGCCTGTTTTAAGAGTGGGTAGAAAATCAACTGAGGGATATGACCTTCCTAGAGTAGGCAAATACTTTCTCTCTGTTCAGATTCTGTAAATATTAAAGATTTGTCTAAAATATAAAAAGCTTCTGCATAACAAAGGAAATGGGAGAAAATACTTGGAAGCCATATACCTGATAAGGGATTAATACCCAAAATACGTCAGCAACTCCAACAACTCTATAGGAAAAAAAAAAAAAAAACCAAGTACTCTGATTAAGAAAAGGACAAGAGACCTCAAGAGAGTACACAAAAGAAGACGTAGATAGCTAACAGATACATGAGCAAACGCTCAACCTCAGTAATCGTTAGGAAGATGCAAATTAAAACCACAGTGAGATATCGCCTCGCAACTGTTAGGATGGCCTTTACCAAAAAGATGGAAGATAACACGCTTTGGCGAGGGCGCGGAGGAAAGAAAATGCTTATGCACTGTTGGTGGGAATGTAAATTAGTACAGAAAACAGATGGAGGTTCCACAAAAAACAAAAAATAGAATTATATGATTCAATAATCCCACTTCTGAGTGCTTACTGGAAAGATTGAAATCTATAAGTCAAAGAAACATCTGCTCTCACGTGTTTTCACATGTTCATTGCAGCACTATTCACAGTAGCCAAGTTGTGGAATCCACTTAAGTATCCATCATTGGATGAAGAGATAAAGAAAACATGGTATATACAAATAATGGAATGCGATTCAGCCTTAAAAAGCGAGACATTTTGTTATTTGTGACAACATGGATGGAATTAGAGAGCATTATGCTGAGTGAAGAAAGCCCAACATAACAAATAGCACATGCTCTCACTTACATGTGGGATCTGTGACAGTTAAACTCCCAGACGCAGAGAGTAGAATGGTGGTTACCAGAGGCTGGGGGTGGGGGAAATGGGGAGATGATGGTCAAAGGGTGCAAAAGCCTCAGGAAGGAGGAATAAGTCTTATTATTTTGAGATCTGTTGCACAGTGTGTTGAGTATAGGTAATAGTTCAGAAGTGTACATTTCAAAACGCTGAGAGTAAATTTCAGATGTTCTCGTTACAAAAAATGTGAAACATTTGAGGCAATGTATATGTTAATTAGCTTGAGCTAATCATTCTACATTGTAGTCAAAAATCATAACATGACTTTTTACCCCAGAAATATACACAACTATCATTCGTCAGTGTATTATTTAGAAGTCTGTAAGCAAAAAAATATTCTCAAGTCCTAGTTTTTTTGTTGTTTTTTTTTTTAAACTTACCTCCCAGCTAATTGCTGAACATTCTGCTATGTATTTGGCAAAAGTAGAGGGTGAAAGGAACAGAAAATTATGACATGGGAACAATTCAGTGAAATTTTCATCTGTGCTAGTGGCCCTTTTTGATTTCTTCGAGTAGGCACAGTCTGCAGGCTGCTTCTGGGCTTGCCTGTGGGTAAGAAGCTCACATGACTCAGTGTTGGCTGACAAAAATGGGCTTTTCCTGGCCCTCATGTAGAATTTTCCTTAAATTGGGCATGAGGATTGGTTGATCACCCTTTTCCTTAAAAAAGGGAAAATTTCATAATTTCAGTGTCACCCCATCCTATTGTCTACTAGTTCAAGAGTGATCTGCTTAATGTCTGTTATAAATTATTCTTGCTGTAATTTATGGGTAATTTCATTGCCTCTTCCCAGTGGAAACAGGTATCAGCCCACACACAGAACACTGTCATAGTCACAGGATATTTTTCTTCTTCTGCCTTTAAAGCTATTTGTAAATATTTAACAAAGAGAACTTAACTGCCATCATTACCCCGTATTCAGTAGCGCTTCTTTCACTGAGGGAACTGAGGCTTTCTCAAGAGACTCTTCTGGCATCCTTAACAACTAGCATTTGTGGTTAACATTATGGTAGCAGAAGCCTGAGTCATGAAAATGGTACTTAGAGATGGAAAAGACAGGTCAGTGTCGAGCCAGCTGTTCCCAGAACAGGATCTGAAGTTTCACATGCTGTCTGCAACATAGCTAAGATGATAAGAAATGGATTTGACAGAAAGCATCTGCTCTGGTTTGTGTGTGAGCGTACCTGGATGCGCGTATTTTGTTATTTGTCCAAATAGTCTGTATTCTAAGTTTTGAAGTTTAGAAACATGACATGGAGAAAGACTGAAATAGAACATAATTTATCTCACTGACATACCACAGTTGCTTCTTACTCACAAGAAACATGAAGAAATCTGGTGCTTAAAATATGACCCTTATCTTTCCTCTTCCATGTGGATGAGTCATCTCAACAGCAATCAAAACAAGTTTGAAACCTGAGTTTTCATGTCAGGCTGCCTGTGTGTTGCTGCAGCCTCTTGCTGGTGGTGAGATCCTATAATGGGCTGCACATACATGTGTTTAGGAAACTGACATTCTTCACACTGACTGCTATCAGTATGCTAAGGACATAGGAGGACCTAGGAAAGCTATGAGAAAGAAATGTATCGGAGAAAAAACAGGAAGATGAAGGGACTGGAACGAGGAAGGAAGAAGAAGAAGAGAGAAGGATCTGCCTTTGAGGAGGGTGTGTTACAATTAGGAGCAGGCCTTCTGCAGCCAGATGTCTCATTTAAACCTGGACTTCCCAGTTACTAGCTATGTGACTCTGAGTGAGGGAATGTGCCTCTCTTTTGCCTCAGATTTCTCGTAGGTAAAATGAGGACCATCAATATTGCCTGCTAACTGGATTAATGCTCTTAATTGCAGCAGAATCTGGAAAAAACAAGTTCTGAGTATCAGCTATCCTTTATTATCATCAGAAATGCTTAGATCTGCACTGTCCAAGATGGTAGCCACTGGCCACAGATAGCTGTTCAGCGCTACTCTGAACTGAGATACGCGCTTAAGTGCAAAATACACATGAAATTTCAAAGACAGCACAAAACAAAATGTATCAAATATTAATAAGTTTTATATCATGCAGATGTTGAAGTGATAATGATTTGGGGTATATTGGGTTAAATAAAATAGATTGTTAAATTAATTTAACTCTTTTTAATGTGGCTACAAGGACATTTAAAATGATATAGATAGTTCACATTATGTTTCTGTTGGATAGCGCTGGTCTCTACACTTCCCTTAAATGGCAAGACCGGAGCAAGAAAATCAAATCCTAGATTTTACTGGCGAAAGGGAAACAGTGGGGCTATTGGGCTTCGCAAGCATCAAAGGCAATCTATAAAGACAGAGGTAACGTGGCAGGATTGAAAGAAGACGCATCATGATGCAGCCTTCAACTCACATCCCATGAGCACAGCGCTGTGCACTATGAATTGGTTTTTTTCAATGACTCCTATGCAAATGAGCAGCACAATTATGATATTTATGTAGTTGTTTAAAGTTCAGATGTTTCTGACGCAAATGTTTAATATATTCCAGAGTTTTTTCAACTTGGTTATTTTTTCTTTTTTAACACTGTGAGCATGAAAATGTGCAGTTGGCCTGGGCCCGGGCCTGCCTCTGCGAGGCCACCCCAAATCCAAGCTTGATAGGCACTACAAAAATAGAATCTTGATGCCTAATAAATGCATGTGTTCTGAATTTTTATGTTCCATATTTTGTGTGGTCTGGAAAATATATTTGCTTTTAAAGCAACAACAACAGCAAAAGCACAAAATGGTGATGTCCCTGTGTTCTAAAAGGAAAGAAGGTACTGCCAAGTTCAGATACCCCAAGGTCATCTTGTCATTGCTGCGAGGAGGTGGGGGGCGCTGTCCACTGCACACAGGTTGCTCCCAGGAGTGTGCTGGAGGTGGGGGTTGGAATGGCCTCTCACGGCACTCCAGATGGGACAGAATGTGTTTGGGGAGATTTGCTCTGGTTTTGACTAAGCTTGATTTAACTTTATTCTCCCTTTTCTTGCAGTGAAATATGAGGAATTATACTGCTTTTCATTCAACCCCATGCTGGATAAAGAAGAAAGAGAGCAAGGCTGGGTGCTGATTGATCTTAGTGAAGAATACAAGCGGATGGGCCTCCCTAATCATCACTGGCAGCTCAGCGATGTGAATAGAGACTACAGAGTGAGTGCGTGAAACCCAAACACTGAAGCCACCTGAAATTAGGATTTCAGCTAGCTTAGCATACCTTTATTTTTATCTCCTTTAGGTTTTAGAGCTCTTTGTAGATATCCATGTGTGGATTTCCAGGTGTCTCTTGGTTAGTGCCAGCTGTATGTCCAACCTGGACCTAGAATTAAAACGTTTGAACCAGAGAAGCATAGAGATCACCCCTTCTAGACCCTTCATCTCATGGTTGCAGAACTTGAAACCCAGAGAGGCCAGGGGGCAGCCCTTGTGGACAGGCAGTTGGTGGGAGAGCTGGCCAGGATCTCATTCTCCCATCAGGTCTTTTTATAGTGTAGTGAGTGATTAGTGGGCAAGTCAGGGAGACTCTGATGGCAGTTTGGCACCAGCTCCTCTGTGTGCTCACTGAACCCTTGCTTGGTACACAAGGTCAGCAAGAGGCTTCCCTAGAGAAATATGGCTACTCTCACAGGAAGGAATATGGAGAGGCAGGGAAGCTAGAGTGGCAGAATTAATCCTGTCTTCTCCTTAATGACAGGCTTACAGATCAGGGGTGGTTTCACTATTAATTTTTAAGATATTTAAGTAACAAAAGTATTGTGAGAACATCCTAGAGAGTTTCCAAAAGGCAAAAAACAAAAAAAAACCAAAAAAACCCCCACCATCCCATTTTCAAAACATTCTTATGTTTTAAAATTTCCTTAAGTTGTTTTCTCATCTGTATAGTTTGATAACTTTTTTCTTATGTAAGTAATGCATATTCATTTATTAAAAATTGGAAAACATAGAGCAAAAGGATATTAAATCACCTAAAACTGCCATCATTCAGAGATAGCCACTGTTATCATATCTGGCCAATAGTCTTCTGGGATTTTAATGTATATATAAATTTTTTATGTATGCACACACAAACCTGCTTAAACATACATAACAAAAATGGAATCATTACATGTGCCTTATATTCTGCTTTTCTTCACATACATATTGCGACATTTTTCTGTCAGTAATTATATTTTATAATATATTTAAAATACTGCATAGTATTATCTAAATATGGCTGTATCAACTAATATCTACCTACGCTCTAATTTTTAGACATTTAGATTGTCATTACTTATTACTATTTTAAATAATGGAGAACATCCTGGTAACTATACCTTTGCCCATATTTTAACTTTTTAAAAGATAGAATTTTAATATAATTTTTATGTCAAAATACCTACACAAAGTTTTGTACCTGTCGTCAAAAATAATTGTGGAAAGGTTGCACCAATTTCTATAAATTCTCGGTTGTGAATGCTTGATTCCTTATACCCTCACCAGCAAAGAGTTAAAGTTTTTAAGAATCTTTTGATACCTTGATGGTGGGATGAGTGATTTCTTATTTTAATTTAATCTTTGTATCTTGATTTCTTGAGTTGTAGCTTTTTATATATTGATTGACAATTTGTATTTTGTCTCCTGATAAATGACCATTTCCAGTTACATATTTTGAATTCTGATTATTTTCTTGACCTTGTCACAGGGATTTTCTTGCGGTTCTTTTTTTGTTTGTTTGTATGTTTGTTTGTTTTTTTTAAAGAAACAGGGTTTCACTCTGTTACCTAGGCTAGAGTACCGTGCGGTATAGCTTACTGCAGTCTCAAACTCCGGATCCCAAGCAGTCCTCCTGAGTAGCTAAGATTACAGGCACATGCTGCCATAATTGCTTACTTTTTCAAAATTTTTATAGGAACAAGTTCTCCCTATGTTGCCCAGGCTGGTCTCGAATTCCTGGGCTCAAGCAATCCTTCTGCCTTGGCCTCCCAAAGTGCTGTAATTATAAGTGTGAGTCATCATGCCCGGTCTCATGAGGATTTGCTACATTGCTATATGGTACTTATAACAGTCAATGAAATGATTGTACAGTAGTCCATCAAATGAATGTACTGTAAGGTACTAAAGTATTTCTTTATTAATATGCATTTAGGCCAGGCATGGTGGCTCATGCCTGTAATCCCAACAATTTGTGAAGCCACGGCGAGAGGATTACTTGAGCCCAGGAGTTTGAGACCAGCCTGGACAACATAGGGAGAACCTCATTCCCACAAAAACATTTTAAAAAATTAGCTAGGCAAGGGGGTGTGCACCTGTAGTCCCAGCTACCTGAGAGGCCAAGGCTGGAGGATTGGTTGAGCCTGGGAGGTTGAAGCAGCAGTGAGCCGTGATTGCACCATGCACTCTAGCTTGGGCAACAAAATACCTTGTCTCAAATTTTTAAAAAAGGGCATTTAGATTATCACTTAGACTTTTTTTTTGCCATATGAATAATTATTGATGTAGTATCTTTATGCGTATAATTTCCCCCAATTTTAAATTATTTTATAAGAAAAATCTTTCCAGAATCTACCAAAAGGCATAAAGGGCCTAAATTGTTTTAAAAATTTCAGGCAGGTAGGACATTGATGTTTTAGTTTTTGGTCAGTATTTGTTAGTTTCTAGTCCCTTATATTGCATTCAGAACACATGGCCTATGGAATTCATATTTGGGGAATGTTTTGAAGTCTTACATCTTCATAAAGCACAGTATTCTATTAATTTTTAATAAATATTTTGAGTCTGGAGAAAATGTGTATTCTCTATTTAGGCGTGAAATTTTCCTTTTATCTAAATTGAATTTCTTATTATTTTGGTCCCTTTGCTCAGCTGATGTCTAATAGAGGTATGTGAAAAAATTCCTGTTATGATTGTGATTGGACATTTTCTCCTTAAGTTCTAACATGTTTGCATTATATATTTGTCAATTTCACATATCCCCTTTTCCTGTGAATTATTTAAACTTTTAATTCTTTTTTTTTTTTTTTTTTTAATTGAGACAGTGTCTCGCTCTGTCGCCCAGGCTGGAGTGCAGTGGCGCAGTCTCAGCTCACTGCAAGCTCCTCCTCCCGGGTTCATGCCATTCTCGTGCCTCAGCCTCCCAAGTAGCTGGGACTACAGGTGCCTGCCACCACGCCCGGCTAATTTTTTGTATTTTTAGTAGAGATGGGGTTTCACCGTGTTAGCCAGGATGATCTCGATCTCCTGATCCGCCCGCCTTGGCCTCCCAAAGTGCTAGGATTACAGGCGTGAGCCACCGCGTCGGCCTTTAATTCTATTTTATATGATTATATTTCCACAGTTTCTTTCTCTTTGTCAGAATTTGCTTGGTGGAGCTCTGTTTAACCTCTTCTTTTTAACCTTCCTATGTAAATGTTTTATCTTTTTAAGCTGAGTTTGGTTAGACTGTTTTTTACTCAACCTGAAAATCTTTTTTTGTGGAGAAGCACTATCTGTGATATTGTTCTAGATATCATGTGTTGTGTGTTCTGTCAATTATGCTTTTTCCTTTTTCATGTCTGTCACTGGATGGTTTTTCCCTGTATTTGCTTGTAATTATTTCAGAAGTATGTATCCTATTGCTTTTCTTCCACTGTGTATCTTTCATTTAGAAAAAAAGTCACTTAAATCATCCCACAAAGTAGAGAAGGAAAAAAAGAAAAAAAGTTATTTATTATGGCACACTTATGACACACACAGGACTTTGAAGAATAGTGGAATGAACGCCTGGGACCTGTGTGCTGTATAAGAATGAACATTGCCAGTGCTAGTTAATTTCCCAGATGTTCCTTCCAAATTGTCTCTCGCTCCAGCATCAATGTCTGCAATTTGGCATTGCCATTCCCTTGCCTTTATTATAGCATTTCTACATTTCTAAATATAGGAAGTCCTCACTTAATGTCAGCAGGTTCTTGGAAACTGTGACTTTGAGTGAAACGATGTACAGCAGATCCTGAAATAACATCATTTTGCTCGACATCATTTTGTGATATCTATGAGGGAAGAAAAGGTGCTGTTTTATGTTCTTTTGCTTAAAGGTGTAATTGCCAACAGCCTATGGGCATTGTTGAGCAAGGACTTACTGTAGTAGTATGTGGTACTGTTTTGCATGTTTTTATACTGTCTGTACTTGGTCTGCATATGCTGTATAGAGTTCTCTGAAACTTGGCTTTTCACTCAACATGGTAACATTTGTATTTGTGATCCATTTCATTTGACAAATATGTACATAGTTACTACATGCCAGGTACTGTTCTAAAAACTTGATAAATATTAGCATATATTAATTCTATGAGTATTATTATTATTATTTCTACTTTACAAATGGGGAAAGTATTACAGAGAGATTAATTGCCTAAGGCACAGAGAGATTAATAACTGTTGATACTGACAGCTCCGATTCCTTCATTCTTCACTAGTGGGTTGTATTCCATTTCACAAATATACCATAGTTTTAAAAATTACTCATCCTTCCCTCTTTCTTTTTTTCTTTTATTTGGTGTATTTTGTTGTCATGAATAAAGCTGGTAAGTGGCTGTATATGTCTTGTACTATATTGTGTTTCTACTTAGGAGTAGAGTTTATGAGCTAAAGAGTTTATAGATTTGAATTTTATTAGATTCTGGAAAATTCTTTTCTAAAATGTTTGCGCGGACATGTTGACCTGCTTTCACAGACTCCCCAACAGTTGGTATTGATGTGATATTCACTGGTACTCTTCTTTTTTGACCCCACATTGCACTTCTGAGTATTTACTCTATGGATTTAATAGCATACACACACACACTGATACCCAAGGTTATTTTATTTTGTTTTGTTTTGTTTAGTTTTATTGAGACAGGGCTTCACTCTGTTGCCCAAGCTAGAGTACAGTGGGGCGATCTCAGCTCACTGTAACCTCTGCCTCCGGGGTCAAGCAGTTTTCCTGCCTCAGCCTCCCAAGTAGCTGGGATTACAGACACCCACCATCACAACCGGCTAATGTTTGTATTATTATTATTATTATTATTTGTAGAGATGGGATTTCACCATGTTGGCCAGGTTGGTCTTGAACTCCTGACCTTAAGTGATCTGCCTGCCTCTGCCTCCCAAAATGTTGGGATTACAGGCGAGCCACCATGCCTGGCCCCCAAGGTTATTTT